AGTATGTGAACTCGAAAAACAGTTAAAAGAGCTACAGATTGAAAGGAAAAAGGCGCATTTACGCCAGCAAATTGAAAAGGAAAAGGAAAGTTTACGGACTTTGAAAGCTTCAGTGATCAAATTCCACGCCGGCCCACAGGCGTCTCCACAGCAAATTTCGACAAATGTAGTTGCAGGTGAGACATTTAACTTTCAACATGCTAACACAGAACGTAAAGCACTACAAATTTTGTCTTTCATATGCCCAGAACCTGTCGAACAATTTCAAACTTTTACTCTAGGGGGCAAAGTAGAGTTCCGTGTGGGCAAAAAGAAAACTTTGGATAAAGTAACAATTGAAGAATGGGTATACGCCAATATTAATATCAAGCAAGAATTAGTTAAGCAAAAGCGTCTGAAACTATACAGGTGACATTTACCGTCTAGTGGCAAGAAATGTGTGGTATTCCGTATTATTGTATGACAAGGAATATCGTTAGAAACAAACAGATGAATTATTTGAATGGGGTACTTATCGACAGGACCTACGCGATTTTCAGTTAGTCGCAAAACATGAGAATCCAACAATGCTAGCGTTTTCGGAAGCGTCTGTTGGAGTATCAATAGGCAAGGGAAGGAATTCGAGGTCAACGACGGAGGAACGTCGCAAAGGCCCTTTTCTTCCGGATGGGCGAGACATTTGTCGTAGTTTCAACTATAATTCTTGTTTCCGTAATGACTGCAAAATGATGCATAACTGCGCCATTTGTTTCTCTAGTGCACATTCCGCAATGAATGGCCATGGTCAACCGATGACAAAAGCAAAAAACCAGGATGTGCCTCAAATTCAAAACTAGTGGCGACTTCCGCAATTAATACTGTGCATTTTGAGGCTTGGTGTCGCCTTTTACCTAGTGATACTATAGATCGGGAATTTATTTTGGATGGAGTAAAAAATGGTTTTAATTTGAGTACAAAATTTGGTCCGCATTATCCTGTGAATCGGGAAAGCTATTCTTCCGCTTTTAATCTTCGCACCCGAGTAGAAAATCAAATAAGAAAATAAATTGCCTTAGGAATTATGTTGTAACTAACAAAATTCCAACTCTTGTCAGTTCATTAGGGGCCGCGCTTAAACCAAATGGTGATATTCGCTTAAAACATGATGCTAGTCAGCCAGTTGGAATTTCTTTAAATTCATATACAAGTGATACAAATTGTTCTTACGTGGATATGCGGCATGCTTTAAAACTTATCAAACCTAATAATTATCTAGCAAAAGTTGATCTAAAAAGTGCATACAGATCTGTTCGCTGTCATAGTTCTGATCATGATTTAACAGGCTTAGCGTGGACCTTTTCTGGCAATGCTAGTCCTACTTACACGTATGATTCTAAGCTACCTTTTGGCCATTCCCGCCGTCCAAAATTTTTTCAAAAGCTAAGTAAAGCTTTGTGTTTTATTATGAAAAGGTTATATAATGTAATATGTATTGCATATTTGGATGATTTTTTAATAATTGCAGATACAATGTGTTCTTGTAGTAGAGGGTTACAATTATTGATACGTAAAAATGGTTTTACACTAGTAATTTTTGGGGCCCTTTATAGCTTACTGTTCGGTGTGAGCCAAGGCTCCGTGTTGAAGACCGTACTGTGACCTATAATGGTTTACTTTTATAAATTTTGACTTGGATGGAGAGTTGTCTCATTGGCACTCATACCACATCTTCTTATATCTATTTACGAGGTTTTAATATTAATTGGTCCAAGGTAGAGGGACCATCACAACGCATTACTTTCTTAGGTATAATTATAGATACCCGCAAATTAACATTATCCATGCCCAAAGAGAAACAGTCTGAATTTTACAATTTTTTATTGACTTTTCAGAAGCGCAAACGCGCAAGTGTTAAACAAATTCAGTCACTTTGTGGTAAATTGAAACGGGCCTACCAAATGGTGAAAGGTGGGAGAAACTTTTTGAGACGCATGATAGACTCTATTTCAAATATACCTAATCACAGTGACAAAGTTATATTGTCTGCCGAATTTCATGCTGACTTATTGTGGTGGATAAGTTTTATGCAATTTTTTAACGGCACTGTTAAATTCATGAACACAAAGAAAGTGACTTCCTTACAAACTGACGCGTCTCTATTGGGAGGTGCTGGCTATTACAACGGAGATTTCTACTATGTGAATTGGACTATTGACTTTCCGGTCGTCAAGAATGAACATATTAACATTAAGGAGGCAGCCGCCGTTATTCTATCTGTGCTCCGTTGGGGACACTTATGGACAAATATGACGACAAAATGCGTTTTGAATAAGGGAACCTCAAAAACAAGTGGTTAATGTGCTTACTGAGGGATTTATTTTGGTTGTCCGCTATGTATAACTTTGACATTAAAGCAAGATATTTGAGTGGATGGTGTAATATCATAGCCGATGCTGCCTCGAGGCTTCACGAGGACGGTCAACTCTCTAAACTTTATGAAATATTGACTAGCTATAGTTACATTCCCTTTACTGTGCATGAACTACTGACACATGTTTCGTTAGACTTTTATCTTTCAAGATGGCACAGATCTTCTATCGGACCTAGAGTTAGCTGTAGAACGATTAAAAGGCAAGGGGTGGGCTGATTCCACCTCCGGTACATACCGTACGCCTTCAAGTTTTGTGAAGACTACAAACTTAAACCAGTGCCGTGTGACCAAAAAATTGTGGAACTTTACATTGCTTATTTAGTTGACAAGAAACATTTTGCTTATAGCTCTATTCGTTCTTACATACACATTATTAGTGTTTTGCATAAGATGCATGACATAAAGGACCCTGTTGCCGTTCTTGGAATATTAAGCATTTGTTAACGGGGGTTAAGTTTGAATTAGATACAATTTTCTTTTTTTCCTACCTTTAGTTCCCTTATGGGGGGGGGGGGGGTTATTTGCTTTGCTTGGGGGTACCAAGCTTAAATTAATATTGCCATACGTAGTTTTGTTTATTATACCAAGTAAGTTAAAATTGTATTTATCCGTAAATAGTTTTTTAGCACGTATGTTTGAATTTACCGCGCTTTCTCTCGTGCATTTTGCAAACCCCATTTTTTCAAGCCTCGTTTGAGGGACCATGCTTTCAAACAGTACTTTGCTCATGGCTGCACGCTAAAAAAATTTGCTAGCTTTCCCACCCACCCTCCCAGTAGCATTTCTAAGGGTGTTGTGTTTGCGTGATAACTGCTGCTATTTTTAGCCATATTATAGACTTTTGTTACACATATATTACTAGAATTTGGATTTTTTTGTTACATGTACTTGCTTGTTATATGATGGGGATATGTATGTTATTGGGGGTTTATTTGCTTGGGGGTACCAAGCTCAAATTAATATTGCCATACGTAGTTTTGTTTATTGTACCAAGTAAGGTAAACTTACATATATAAATCCGATGATAACTCTTCAGTCTCAATAGGTATGGTTCCAAGTACAAATTATGTTTTGAATTGCGAGTAAAAGTCCCTCTTCGACGAATTGTATATATCAGCAAACCATCTTTGAATGGACTGGTCTCGAAGTCGTTGTTTGACAGTATATTTTAAAAATTCTAAATTAATACCTTGTTGAATATTCCATACTTCACTAAAACCACAATCATCAAATATAGATTTAATATAGTTTATCCATTTAAACTGATAATTTTCATTATCTTGTAAATGCTTCAAAAGTTTGTATAGTTTTCCAGACAATTTATTTTCATTAGTAACAAGCTTGTTCCAAAAACATATCATTTTCATCTTGATTTGCAATTCTAAAGGAAATCTACCTAACTCACCATATATCATGAAATAAGGAGTGGATGTTCGGACAGACAAAATACGCTTACAAAACTGTTTTATTTTCGAACCCCCAAATTTTAGAGGAGTACGTAAAAATGGGAACAACTAAAGAATCAAATAATTTTAACTGTAGATCAATAGGAATGGATAAATTTTTAATCTTCTTATAGAGAGCATATAGTGCATTTTGAACTTGGTCAACTAGTTTTAGCCTGGAAAAAAAATCCGTTATAGTTAAACAAAAGACCAAGGTAATTATAACTGTCCTTGATTTCCACATCCTGATTACATAGTGTAAATGAAGTATTTTGTTTACATTTTCTTTTAGAAAAAATTACATTTTTTGTTTTTGACTCATTAACACTAAGTTTCCAATCTTCACAGTATTTTTCAAAAACAGAAAGTGCATTTTGTAATTCTCGTGCCGATTCAGCAAATATAACAGTGTCATCGGCAAATAATAGAATAAACATTTTAATATACATACTCAAATTATCCATACATTTTTTATCTAAAAAATTTAAACAATTAACAGAGTTACTGGTGGGCTATAATATCTCCCTCATGCAAAGCGCTGATTCCTTTCCTGGCTTTTGCCATAAGTTGTGTCCTTTATGGCTTATACGCTCTTTCATTTCTGAATGAGTGTTCGATTTTCAAATACTTTGGCCTCGAGCATCACTGAAGAGACATTAATTATCGAAATGCACATCTGTTGCAGTACCGTTAATGTTATTATTGAAGAATGACTAAGAAAAATTAGAAAAAAATCCTTAAATATTTCCATAATATCCGGTTCACAACTGAACATCTTTGCAATCTTCCTGTGAAGTTTTAGGGATTTCTGTTGAAAAATGTTATAGGAGTTGATTACACAAAACGTGTACCCTCTTTCATAAATGTTGCAGACAAATGACTAATTTCTAAAATAAAATCGAAAAATGAGAAAAAATTCCCATAAAAATTCCATAACAGCCGTTGCACAATTTCAGCCGGTACTTCCTTATCATTGTAATAAGGCCTTTGTTTTATATTCTGAATCATTTCTTATTTCATCAAATGTACTCAAAAGTTAGTCGGAAACAAAAGTGCCTAAGAGAAGTGTTTTAACAAGTGTTGTTGCATTAAAAAGACTATAATACATCAACTTCCTCATTATGTGTTCTAAATGATAAGTTTAATAGACAAGTGTAAATATGATCCGTCGAAAATGAATGATTTATTAAAAATGGTTTTTATTCTGGATTCTCTGAGTTGTTTCTTGGTAGGCTCTGTGTCAGGTATGTCAATAAAAATATTACATTGAGTACTATTATTCGTCGTTACAAATTCAAAAATACATCAGTTGAAAGAATGTTTACACAATTTATAACAGTATGTTTAATTTGCTCTCAGAAGTAAACATTTTTAAACAGTCATAAAGTCAATTGTACCCAAAAATCCAGACTAAGTTTTTGTATACTGATGATATTTTTAACAATGATTAGTACTTTTACAACAGTGAAAAAATAGATATCATAGTTAGGTAATAATAGAAATTGATACTGAATTTGCTCACATATATATAAATGAGTTGTGAAATTATAAAATAAGATAAGATAAGATACGATAAGATAATCTATATTTCAGACTCAAAAGGTTTATATTTACATATACATGACAAAACACATTGTGTCTAAACATGATACAATGTTAAAGGGGCATTAGCTACGAGATATAAAAAAATTAAAACTTGTTCAATCATTCATGAAAGTGAAATAGTGAAATAATAATTCACTTTTAGCAGCCAGTTTGGTTCAATTTTGTCAAAATAAGCTATGAAACATCGTTGATGAATTATTCACTTGCAAGTGAATAATTCTACCTCATTGAATCCGTATTCATGTAAACTTCAATTTAACCCCTTAGCTAGAGATGGGCTACGCATGAATTAGTCGTGTTCAGTTATTAAAAGGAAAAGAATGTCAACATTGAAAGTGAAACAATGGTAAACCATTTGATTGACTGATTCGATCCACAAAAACTTATTCTTATACATGTAAAAACGATGATTAACATATATTTTTAATCTATAATAGAAAATCAAACAGACCTAGAAAAATCCAAACGCACGAGTTCGTTATCTTTTTATATCTATATTTATATTTATATCGGGTTATATAACCGTCGGCAGTCTTCGAATGTCACCTCGATAGTTAATTAGATGGCGTCTAGACTAAAATACACACGAAATTCTGATACATATTATCGAGCCCATGATTTGTGAATTGTTTATTTTAGACTTTTTATAATTTGGATATACGTTTTAGTATGTTATAAATCAAATACGAGAATTTGAGTCAAATCGGTGAACATGAATGTGACAACTAATGCCCCTTTAAAAAATTTACAGTATTAATTATAGTTAAAAATGTCATTATACCATCCTCTTAACATGTCGAAGAATGCAATTAATCACTTCTTAGAATTGTATTAACCAAATGATTTTCAGATATTTTCAAGCGATTTAAAAAACTAAACATTGATAAACTAAAGTATCTTAATTTTGTAACAAGACTAAAGTGTTTCTTTTCTTACTTTTTGTTTGCTTGAAAATCCTTCCAAATTTTTCCTTAGCATTTCACAGGTGTTTTCCTGAACTGTTTATGATGTTACAGCATTAAATATACCCGAGGTACAGTCTATGAATAGAGTGTATGACGGCATGGTTTAATATCAGCACGGCATATACTTATTTTTTTTTCAATAACTGCGAACACTCTATAATACGGCATTTGGTTTTATTGTTTTGATTATTCTTGTGTTTTTTGTCATCTAGTAAATGGGTATTATCGAGTTACGTCCTTGGCACGAGTTGAAAGGAAGGTTTTTTTATATTCTGTTTTGTTTTTCTACTGATCCAGATTAAAAGGATACGATTTGAGTTATAATAAAACTTGATGAATTGATTGAACTTGAAAAAAAAATGAGAAATTTTGGGAATAATCACCCCCCCCCCCCAAAAAAATAAATAAGTAACAATAAAATTTAAAAAACTAAGATTAACTCAGTAATCCCGTAAGCGTAATAAACTACTGCTACCCCAGTGGTACCTGTTGTGCTGCTCATAACTGGTCAAGTTAAGTTGATAAGTCTACTCTGGGAATGTCGAGGAAAGATAACGGACGATATTGTAGCTACGACAAAGAAACATCTGTGGCAATATACGACATATATTGATATTTCATTTAAAAAAAAACTTGGTCATGATTGTGTTCGTTAAACTATCAAACGATGACTTTATCATTTAGGACTCTTGGTTTAGAAGCTCCAAACTATCAAACGATGACTTTATCATTTAGGACCCTTGGTTTAGAAGCTCCAAACTATCAAACGATGACTTTATCATTTAGGACCCTTGGTTTAGAAGCTCCAAACTATCAAACGATGACTTTATCATTTAGGACCCTTGGTTTAGAAGCTCCAAACTATCAAACGATAACTTTATCATTTAGGACTCTTGGTTTAGAAGCTCCACAATATCAAACAATGACTTTATCATTTAGGACCCTTGGTTTAGAAGCTCCGGGAGTTCGCTTCATAATCGTTAGTTTTCTATTTAGTATTTTACTGTGTTGTTTGTCTTTTTTCGATTTCCAATGATGCTGTCCGTTTTTCTTTAACTTATTATTATCTTATTATATCCTGTCATACAAACAAAGCCAATTCTTTATATTGCAGTCATACTATCGGAACCAGTTCTCACTTATGACAAACAACCTTTTGTGGGAGAGCGCATTCATTTTAATTGTTACTCAAGATATATAGGTGTTCCGTCTAATTTGTCTCCAAAAATTGAATATACATTTAACTACAACTATAGACACTCCATGGCCTCTTTCCTTGATATCACCCATTCCGAAAAGGGGAAAGATGTGTCCTGCCAAGCCTCCAATCAAGTTGGAGATTTATCAACCATCAGCAACGTCATTACTCTTGATCCATACTGTGAGTATGAAAATTTATTTTAAAATATTTGGCGTTGTTGTCCATTTTCTTATTTTTCTGTTTGTTTCGTGGAATTTGTATGACTTTGAAAACAAGAAGAAAAACTACAATCCCAAGGTTATACATATTTAGATATGAATTTTCTCTTTTCATGTATAATAATTGATTATCTACAGATGTGTCACTTGTTTGAAAGTGTATACTATGTGCAGACTTAGTAGTCGAATACATTTTTCAAAAAGTCCCAGGATTGTAATGCAACCACATAACATAGGCTATAGTATCTACCATTCAACATACGGCTACAGTATCTACCATTCAACATACGGCTATAGTATCTACCATTCAACATTCGGCTACAGTATCTACCATTCAACATACGGCTACAGTATCTACCATTCAACATACGGCTATAGTATCTACCATTCAACATTCGGCTATTGTATCTTCCATTCAACATTCGGCTATTGTATCTACCATTCAACATACGGTTACAGTATCTACCATTCAACATACGGCTATAGTATTTACCATTTTACATACGGCTATAGTATGTACCATTTTACATACGGCTATAGTGTATACCATTCAACATACGGCTATAGTATATACCCTTCTGCATACGGCTATAGTATATACCCTTCTACATACGGCTATAGTGTACTAGTATACCATTCAACATACGGCTATAGTATATACCATTCAACATACAGCTATAGTACATACTAATTAACATACGGCTATAGTACATACTATTTAGCATACGGCTATAGTATATACCATTCAACATACAGCTATAGTACATACTATTTAACATCCGGCTATAGTACATACTATTTAACATACAGCTATAGTATATACCATTCAACATACGGCTGTAGTATATACCATTCAGCATACGGCTATAGTACATAATATTTAACATACGGTATATACAATTCAACATACGGTTATAGTCTATTCAATTCAACATACGGTAATAGTACATACTATTCAACATACGGCTACAGTATCAGGGGAAGTAACGTCGAAATATCGAGGAGCGTTTGGTACAGTGATTTTATCATGATTTGGTCCAGTTGGACATGTTTTGGTTAGGTCACTCATCCATAGTAACTGCATCATTTCTCAACAAATAAACATACAAAAAGTAAATAAGAGATTTGAATCCATGTTTTACGTCACACTTTCAATATTTAAATTGGGTTGTTGAAAATTAACGCACGTAAGGCATGATATCGAAATTTGACATGGTTTGGTTAAGATATTGACATGGTTTTGTTAAGTGTTCCAAATTTTGTCATGGTTTTGATCACATTTGTCATGGTTTAGATAAAAATGATACATATTAGTTTCACGAAAATATTGATAGTTTGTTCAAATGCGTCGTAAACCCCAATTACACTGTTTTGGAACTCTTTTTCGTCTAAAATAATCTTCGAATGTTGTTAACGAATTATGTCAGGGATGTATAGATGAGCGACATTAGGAGTCAAAAGGTAAAGACCGGTAAACTTTGATTTGTTTTACCCTGGAATACTATGAGAACATATCTCTATTAAGTCGTATGCAAATAGACAGATTTGCATATCTGATAATTTTAGTGTACACACAAAACCGACCAATATGCCACTGAACGAAATATTTTTGAAACATTTCACGGTAGGCAGTACGTAGCCGTCGTTATATACGTTTCTTGTTGCAATTAAGCCATGTCTGTTTTTATTTCTTTTTGTGTGTTATTTCTATTTTATTTTGGGTTTTTGGCCGAGGGAAAGGTGTGCGTCATTCGAAAAAAATCAAATAAATCCTAAAATCAAACAGCTAGGCGGGAGAGAAAAACACACACACGAATATAAAAAAATGGACCAAAAGCTAAATATGCCAGACAGTTAATGTCAATATTACGCTAAAATTATTCTTGTTTTTTGTGTGCTTTTCTTAGTAAATTTAAATTTTGTAAAATACGCATACATTTTCTTTTCAAACCCAAAAATATTTCAGAAAAAACATATTTACGACTTAGTTTACAATTCCTCATAGGATTACAATTTCTTGAATTTCTATGGATTTTCCGAATATGAACGAAAATATGATGTGTGGTTGAAGTTAACTACACAGCAACCAAACGACAAAAACAACAACAAGACATCTAGAAGGCAAAAGTCTTCAACAATGGACAGGCACAATATATACAAAATGTCAAGTTCTAAATCGCCCCAAAACCTGAGATATCAACTATTGCTCGAGGCCAGATGGGGTATTTGGATTTTTTTAAAATTCTGTTTTTCGGTATAACAAAACACTTAATGACTGGTTATGAGAAAAAATAGCATTACATAATAAACTGTTTGGTAAAGAAGATCAGAGAATTGATATATAAAGATGCATGACTTAACCTAATTTTTTATTTAAGATGTAGAAAACCGACATGAATTCTTAATATAAATGCTTTTTGATATGGGGCATGATCTAGTAAAATTTAAAATACATGTCTTTATCATAAATATTTTTCGGGGATGCCTATAGATAACAGTATTGTGTAATTGAAAAGAAGAGAGAGAAAACGTCTGTTCAAAGGAAGTTAAAAACTATTGTTCTAAACGTATCTCCAATCTTTTTGTTCATATAAGAAAAGAGATGAAACATTACTGATAAAAAAAAATTCCAATAATTTGAACAATGCATACGGAAGAAAAGTTCAGACTCTATGTGTCAGTTTCCTCTACTAAACTTGATATACTCCGAAAGTATGGCAACGCCTTCTTGTCTTCATATTTTGATATACTCCGAAAGTATTGAAACGCCTTCTTGTCTTCATATTTTGATATACTCCGAAAGTATGGAAACGCCTTCTTGTCTTTATATTTTGATATACTCCGAAAGTATGGAAACGCCTTCTTGTCTTTATATTTTGATATACTCCGAAAGTATGGAAACGCCTTCTTGTCTTCATATTTTGATATACTCCGAAAGTATTGACACGCCTTCTTGTCTTCATATTTTGATATACTCCGAAAGTATGGACACGCCTTCTTGTCTTCATATTTTGATATACTCCGAAAGTATGGAAAAGCCTTCTTGTCTTCATATTTTGATATACTCCGAAAGTATGGAAAAGCCTTCTTGTCTTCATATTTTGATATAATCCAAAAGTATGGAAACGCCTTCTTGTGTTCATATTTTGATATACTCCGAAAGTATGGAAACGCCTTCTTGTGTTCATATTTTGATATACTCCGAAAGTATGGAAACGCCTTATTGTGTTCATATTTTGATATACTCCGAAAGTATGGAAAAGCCTTCTTGTCTCCATATTTTGATAAACTCCGAAAGTATGGAAACGCCTTCTTGTCTTCATATTTTGATATACTACGAAAGTATGGAAACGCCTTCTTGTCTTCATATTTTGATATACTCCGAAAGTATGGAAACGCCTTCTTGTCTTCATATTTTGATATACTCCGAAAGTATGGAAAGGCCTTCTTGTCTTCACATTTTGATATAATCCAAAAGTATGGAAACGCCTTCTTGTCTTCATATTTTGATATACTCCGAAAGTATGGAAACGCCTTCTTGTCTTCATATTTTGATATACTCCGAAAGTATGGAAACGCCTTCTTGTCTTCATATTTTGATATACTCCGAAAGTATGGAAACGCCTTCTTGTCTTCAAATCTTGATATACTCCGAAAGTATGGAAACGCCTTCTTGTCTTCATATTTTGATATACTCCGAAAGTATGGAAACGCCTTCTTGTCTTCATATTTTGATATACTCCGAAAGTATGGAAACGCCTTCTTGTCTTCATATTTTGATATACTCCGAAAGTTTGGAAACGCCTTCTTGTCTTCATATTTTGATATACTCCGAAAGTATGGAAACTTCTTCTTGTGTTCATATTTTGATATACTCCGAAAGTATGGAAACGTCTTCTTGTCCTTATATTTTGATATACTCCAAAAGTATTGAAACGCCTTCTTGTCTTTTAATTTGATATACTCCGAAAGTATGACGGCTTCTTGTCTTCATATTTTGATATACTCCGAAAGTATGGAAACGCCTTCTTGTCTTCATATTTTGATATACTCCGAAAGTATGGAAACGCCTTCTTGTCTTCATATTTTGATATACCGATTTGTGTTATTCTCTCATGTTAATTTATATAAGAATAAGAATATTTATTGAATCCAATTAAAGGATCCGTTTCCGAGCATATACATATATATAGTATTAATTATACAGTAATTTTTAAGATATATTACATTAAAAACAAATGTTTAAATAACTATACTCCATATCAGATGGTGTTTGAAAATAAATAAAATAGAATATTAACCCTCTCCAATACATAAAACATAAACTACATTACTACATGTATATTTAGTTTCTGGAATGCAAATTTTTTCTTATTTCAAAACAAGTACTAATAAATCTTGACACTGACAAATTAACATTTTCAGACTAACTGGACATCAAACTAATAAACTGTTCGTACTTTTATGAATATAAAATACATGTACTTATTGAAGTAATGAGAATTGCATTATAAGTAAAAGAGAGGCGAAAGATACTAGAGAGACATTCAAACTCATAAGTCGAAAATAAACTGACAACGCCATGGCTAAAAAAGAAAAAGACAAACAGACAAACAATAGTACACAAAACACAACATAGAAAACTAAAAACTGAGCAACACGAACCCCACCAAAAACTGGGGGTGATCTCGGGTACTCTGGAAGGGGTAAGCAGATCCTGCCCCACATGTGGCACCCGTCGTGTTGCTCATGTTAGTACAAACCCGGTAATAAGACTAATTCGGTAGGTCACATTCGGGAAAATGGGGACGGGATTGTAGTTACGACATTAGGAACATATCTGCTATCATCTGTGAAACGGATATTCCATAACGGTCAACCAACTCGTGATCAAAACAAAACAAAAGTACAAATTCGACCACGTCATTGCAGGTAAAGCATTCAAATTAGGAAAATAAATTAAGAAGTTCATTTTACTCATGCTTTGACTAGTTAAATGTTTTCGGGAGGGGAAAATTAATTTTATTTGCTTTTTGGGAAGATACGAGTTGTCATCTTTAAACAAGTAAGATACCGTTGGATATGTAACATTTACAAAGTATAATCAGTGCAAAAATCATGATGTACTGTAAAAAAAGAAAAAGAAAGAAGCATTGATAATGTAAATTTCTGGAAAGCATGATGCTAACATGGACAATAAGTATTATTGCATGTGATTTGACCAACCTCAGCTTAATTTTACATGATTTGAATAATTTTCATTTAGTTATGACGATAAACGAATCACTGAATTTTGAGTAAAAGCCGTAAATGTTCTTAGTACGTTCGATCAGCATTTCTAAACATTTATTTTACCCTGTTGTTTGACTAAACTGATGTAATTTATCTTAAATTTGATTACATATGCAGAACTGCACGTATATTTGCTCAATATATGATAAAGCGTCTTAACCATGACTCAGTGCATAGTTCAATATCAGTACGACCCTTATTTCTTATAACCATTCGGTGTTTTAATTACACATAGTTAATATGGATCATATAAATAAAAAGATGTGGTATGAGTGCCAATGAGACAACTATCCATCCAAGTCACAACGGGTAAAAAGTAAACAATTATAGGTCAAAGTACGGCCTTCAACACGGAGCCTTGGCTCACACCGAACACCAAGCTATAAAGGGCCCCAAAAAGACTAGTGTTAAACAATTCAAACAAGAAAACCAACGGTCTAATCTAATATATAAAAAACGAGAAACGAGAAACACTTATGAACCACACCAACAAACAACAACCACTGAACAACAGGCTCCTGACTTAGTACAGGTGCATAAAAATGCAGCGGGTTTAAACGTTTTAACAGGCGTCAACCTTCACCCTAACCTGAAACAGTGGTATAACATTACAACATAAAAAGACACACAATAAAATATCAATTGAAATGGCTTAACTCGATCAAAAAGACAATACACAAAAACAAGTAAATATACACTGAACGAATAAGTTTGATCTATGACACAATATAAATGCCTATTATTCATAGATTGATATTTTCAACGTTTTTCACACTTGAACAACAGATGGACCTGAAGACATTAAAATAATACCTGCAGGTAGTGTTTACAATGTTACTGAAGGTGAAACAGTCTCGCTTGTCTGCTCAGCAAAATGTTATCCTGGATGCAATTATGTATGGAAATACAACACTGATATATTCAGACAGTACAGAACAGGCAGCATTCTTACAATACAACATGTTAATCGGTCACATGCTGGAGAATATAGATGCCGTGCTGATCACATCAATAACTCTCAAAGATTCCAAAGAATCGACAGAATCATCAATGTCCAGTGTGAGTTTTAGCATTAATCTGTATGTACATGTAACATAAAAGAAAAAAAGTAAAAAAACAAAAACACCGAACTCCAAGGAAAATTCAAATCGGTAAGTCCCTTATCAAATGGCAAAACCAAACTCTCAAACACATCAAACGAATGGAAAACAACTGTCATATTCCTGACTTGGTACAGGTACCTCCTTATGTAGAAAATGGTGGATTAAACCTGGTTTTATAGCTAGCTAAACCTCTCACTTGTTTATCTAGGAGTTTATGCTTTGTCTACATAGGTTGCTGTATGGAACTAGAGTTTGTTCAAATCTTCATGACTACGGGTTTAAACGTACATAGCAAATGTAATCATGATTTAAGAATTGTAGCAATATAAAGGTTATTCATTTTTTTTCAGAGAAAAGTGCTTGTGTGTATGTTCCTTTAGCTTGCTTTGTTGACATTGGTGCTAGTAGTACCAGTATCAGTTGACTAGTGATTGTTCTATTGTTATCTATGATTACATTTAACTTTAAAATAAGACAAGTTATTACATTTAATCGCAAATGAAGGTTGACTTTATTTCAAAAATGTTTTAATATATTATATCAAATAAATAGGCATTCAAACAATTTAGTTCGAATTATATAAAAGTAGACTTGGGCTTATTTGCTTAACGGCACGTACCGTTATATAATTAAGTGGATGCACAATGTGTTTGAGCTCAAGTTAATGACAAAACACATAAATTATCAATTCATTTATATATCCATATTCATAATCGTCATGCATGTGCTGTGATAGATAATTTAACCATGTTAATTCTTGTATCTGAAGGTCGACCAGCAAAACAAGTGACAGTTTTGAATGGTGAAATATTCACAAAACTCAATAAGAAAGAGGTTGTCGAAATTTCTATTGAATCTGATCTGGGACCAAACATTACGTGGATCGACGATACTGGTTATAAATGGGAGAGTACTACGGGGATGGACAATTTTAAATTCAACTACACGTCATTTTTAATGGCAGAGAATTTATCAGACTTTGGCACATATGGAGTACAGATCTGCAACAACAATTGTTGTATAATAGAATTTATTCACTTAAAACAAATAATCAGTCCAGGTAAACAATTTGTTTACGATATTTTTAAGATCTTTTAATATAGGGTAACTATGATTGCCTATGAGACAAATTTCCACCACAGACCAAAGGAGGTAGATGTTAGCAACTATAGGTAATCGTACGGCATTCAACACTGAACAAAACCCATACCGCATAGTAAGTTGTAAAAAGCCCCGATATGACAAATATAAATCAAAGCAAACAAGAAAACTAACCATCAAAAGAAAAACAAATATGATATAATACTAAATTGCTTGCTCATGACTTGGGACCGGCACAAACAGAATGTATTGAGTCGAGTTTCATTGAGGCGTAATCCATTAACATTAGAAATGCTAATTTTCGGTACATATGATAGGAATAAAGGTCTACCTGACACTAGAAAGAAATATTTTATATAAAGTTTATGTATCACACGGTTGGATCTGAAGGCAGTATACGAAATACCTTCAATCTCAAAAGTTCAGAAGCAGATACAAATACATTGGGAAGAAAACAGTTGATACTGCATTGGATCCAATAGGAGTGACATCAAGGGTCAATATCATTTTTTTTATTATCCCGGTTTCTACAGATCTTTCAAGATTTTAACAGACTGAAAGAAAGAATGGTCGTCTTCCATCCTTTGATAATAACAGTTGTTAATTTAGTTCCATGCAAAAAGAGTATAACAAAATACCGAAGTTCAAGGTAATTACAAAAGGGCAAGTCCATAAAAACTGACAAAGTCAAACGTTATCAATCATCGGAACAAAACAAAGATCGCTGCAAGAAAAATAAGATAATTTTAACTGCCAAGTGCTTGAATGAATTAATTATAATATTACTCTATTCCAGATAGCTTTGAAATTTTAACTTATATGGCTCCTACAGGTATAGCAGCTGGGCTTTGTGTACTCATTCTAGTTACCGGTTTGTTGTGTAACAGGAAAAGGCATGTTAGTCAGAGAACCATCAAACTGGCACCTAATGTCGAAGACAAACCGAAACCAAGTGTCCACAGTGATGAAGCTGACGAACCTTACTACGAAAATAAAAATACATTAAAAGTAAATGACCACTCTGTGGTAAAAGATAATTCATACGAAAATTACGAACATTTAACGGAAGACATGAATTACCATAACGAGGGGGAATACACTAATTTAGGACAAAAATAAACATCAAAGAAGAAGAAAATGGAATGAAAAATTGATCAACATTTCAGAGTTGGAACCTAACTTTTTATAGGAACAACTTTTGCATAAATAAGTGATGAAAACACATGATTTTTATCAAGTTATATCGGTTTTATCATCACGTTTAAAGGGTCTGTTTTAACAACACACAACACGTGTAGACCTATTACACTTGTTAGAGCAATGCATACAGATTGTCGTATGTACCACATGTCACTTCAGGAAAACTTTTTTTGTCTTTCTGATCATTTCTGTCTATTGAAAATGTCGCTATCTGCCAACTGCACATTCTGAATTAGCATTACAAACTGCAATTCGCATAATATTGCAAGTTCTGTTCTCAAAGTCAGATTTTGCTTTGCTAGCCAAATGCGTAGTGTAGAATCTTCATGGATATGTAAATTTTTTCTTTTGAATCAAATAAATTGTTTAAAGTATTTCATGGTTCAATTGTACACTAATGTAAATTCAAAGAAATATAGGGTGATTATTAAAAGAATCGATAACGGTTTTTTCTCCGTAAATTTCACGACACAGCGTCTGTAACATCTTTACTTCGATAAGATTTTATATGATATTATGATTATTTATAAAGTAATTATAGAAAAATAGAAATGTATTAAAATGACTATGTATAAAATAAAATAAGTTTTACTGTATATTCTCCCTGGATATTCAGTAATAATTGTGTGTGGCAATCCAAAAGTGTGTGTGTGTGTGGGGGGGGGGGTTGAGCGTTGGAATCCCCCTTTTTTACGATCAATTCTTTTGAATGGGGTCATATGGCTGGAACCCCCCCCCCCTTTATCCTAGGTTGGCACCCCCTTTTAAAAATGGCTGGATCAGCCCTGGGTGCCATCATTATCTTCAACAATCCAAACATTAATAAATCTATTTTTATGATTAAGACTTAGTCCAAATGTAAACTATATGTTTTAATGTATAATTTACATAAAAGTTCTTTTGATATATGTTTTTTAAGAAATTGTCATATGGGATTAAAATTGTAGCTTCAAGCTAAGGAGTATTATAATGTTTTTTTTTTTATTCAAAATAGATGCTAAAGATTTTTTTCGCTATTGGAATTTCCTGAAATATGTTTTTGTAAATATGTCTTGAAACAACTTGTAGAAACCCCGCTCGTCACACCCTGTGGTCAAAATCCATTGTTATTCGTAACAATAGATCTATTCAATTTACACTTGTTTCAGAAATAGAAACTGTGAAGTATAACAATAGAACTGGGGTGTAAACTGTATGATACAACATTTAAAACCCACAACCTGCATGGGTACATAAAATAAACACATTTTCTTCGGACATTCTTTATTTGCAATACATTACGAACATCAAAGTCATCGAAAAAAGGTTTTTACAAAAAAATACCGAACTCCAAGGTAAATTAAAAAAAGGGGGAAGTCCATAAAAACTGAAAATAATCAAACGTTAAACTTTATCAACCAACGGAACAAATGGGAAACAAATGTCATATTCCTGATTTGGTACAGGCATTTTCAGAAGACAATTTTGGGTTAAAACTGGTTTCAATAATGTCACTACGCGAGTAAATAGTTATGCTAAAATTAAAAAAATTAAAGCTGTGCATATTTTCATTTTTACTGTAATAGCCTGTGGAAGTTTGAGAAAATATACTAATTTTTTAATTTGATATTTTTAACAAATTTCAGAACAAGTTAAAAAAAAACTGGACAACAGATCTGTATGATTTTTTGAAGATAAATCATAAATGATTTCCCAAGAACCCATCCTTATCAAAAGTTACGTTTTTGTACATGGGATTGCTCGAGTGATCATTTACTCCTAATTCTTTGGCTAGCTGTAAAACCAGGTTTAATCCACCATTGTCTACATAAGGAAATGCCTGTACTAAGTCAGGAATATGACAGTTGTTTTCCATTCGTTTGATGTGTTTGAGCTTTTAATTTTGCCATTTGATGAAGGACTTTCCGTTTTGAAGTTTCCTTGGAGTTTGGTATTTTTGTTATATTACTTTCATAAGACACTCGTAGTAATAAGATTTACAGACAAAACAATATTGTTAGAAGTTAAGAACAACAACATATTCATAATGAAGAGACTTTTTAGATATTTCACGCCTTCTTTGTCTCTGAATAAGGACTTGGGTTTAACATATACACAATTTTTCAACTTGTGGATTCTACGTTGTGTCAGCGACCTAATTGCTTTAACCAATTCTATCAGAAAGATGGTTACAGCCTCGTTGTTAACCTGATATATTTATGAAGGACTAGTTAAACTGTCTTCAGATAATAAAATTGTCTTATATTTAAGAAGTCTACATGTTATGTTAGTTATCCTTTTTTCAGCACGCAATTTGAAGGTCACCTTCTTGAGAACAGACAGATACAACGTAGTTTCTTGGTTAAGGGTATTTAAAATGGGCAAAAGATACTAAAGGGAAATTCAAATTCATTAGTCGATATAAAATGACAATGTCTTGGCAAAAGAAAAGGACCAAAAGACAAAAACAACAGTACACAAAACACAACATAAAAAACTAAAGAATGAGCAACGGGAACCTCACCAAACATTGATTGAGGTGCTCCGGACAGGTTCTGCTGAACATGCGGCACCTAAGTTGTTCTTTCACATACAGAGGAATTTTTACAAAAAATTGTAAGATTTTTGAGTAAACATATCTTTACAGTATCGTATATCATCCCACCTTTTCCTATTCATTAATTTTAAAAGGCAACACAATCTGTTAATTTGAGTATATTCAAAAAAACTCATAATTCTTAAATAGTGAACTGAGACGAGTCCTAACACTTCATTTCCTGAAGGAAATAGGCTTAAAGTTACTATTATAAATTAAATCTGTTTTAGCACATCCTTAGAACTTCTCGTCCAATCAAATTGCTTGCATTTGCCTTCTAAGTTTCATAGTACATACTTTTTCCGTGTACGAAGTAACTATGTATGAATGACCACAAGGGTAAGGTTTCATTGTGTCGTAATTAAGATATTAAAAACAAAAAATGCCAGTGGCTATTTTGGAATAAAATGTTGTGTCCCAAATTTGAAATAAAAAAAAACTATAATTTTTGATCTATCGCTAGACTATCTATGGGCACGGCACATATATCTGTATTTTTCAAATTTATTATAGCTTTAGTTTTACTGTGTAATTGAAGAACATTTTTAAAAAATGTAAAGCTCCCACTGCAATTTAATTATGTATGCCTGTTTTTTGGTCAATTTATTATGTCATCTTACCATGTAATGCAGCACATGTAGTAAGACACCGCTTTATATCAATATACATACTTACATCAGCAGATACCATCTTTTCAATTGGGAGTCAAGAGCCTTTTAAAATCACATATCTTTATGTGTGACTGACTATAAACCGCTAATTTCCCAATTCATGTTTGCGGCATTTATAAACTCATGATCTGGTAAATCATTGTCACAAATTGAACAAATACGATAGCTTTGATACTAGTGAGTAAATTTACAAAACATAGTTAATGAACTCCGGTTTACAAACACCTGTGAAACAAATATTAGGCCAAAATAAACTATCAATAGACCAATTAAAAGATTACTAAAGTTGTAAATATGTGCTAAATTGGATAGTCAATGGAAAGATATATACTGTGAAATTAAGTGCTCGGGGTAAGCCCACCGCTCTAAATTGCATATAATATAACTTTCCATAGACTAACCGATACATAGATAATGCATATTTTAAGGTGTTTCTTGCCGTATAACACACCGAGGGGTGACAGGATTGAACAAATGAAAGTCCGACCGTAGGGAGGTCTTTTTGGGCAATCCTGACACCCCGAGGTGTGTTATACGGCAAGAAACACCTTAAAATATGCATTATCTATGTATCGGTTAGTCTATGGAAAGGTATATTATATGTTGTTTCAGAAATAGAAACTGTGAAGTATAACAATAGAACTGGGGTGTAAACTGTATGATACAACATGTAAAACCCACAACCTGCTTGGGTACATAAAATAAACACATTTTCTTCGGACATTCTTTATTTGCAATACATTACGAACATCAAAGTCATCGAAAAAAGGTTTTTACAAAAAATACCGAACTCCAAGGTAAATTAAAAAAAGGGGGAAGTCCATAAAAACTGAAAATATGCATTATCTGACTTATATACCGTCAAAAAATATTATTTTCTGCAAAGATTTGCAGGATTTGCATCCTATTTTACCAACTACACTAATGTGGGATATTCTTTTCTGGTGCGTTCAGGTTAATACGCCTACGGCTCATTTATAATGTGAAATAAAACTCACTAATTAATCTAGTTACAATAACAATATTACTGTAACTGCATGAAGCAAGACACAGATGAATTGTTAAGGTGTATGAAAAATACAAGTCACTTTGTAAGTAATTTATTGTGTCAACTTAGTTTATGAAAGCGGATGCTATGCTTTTTCTTTTTTTTGATGACGTTTTTCATAGTTCAAATTTCTCATAATGTATTACATAAACTTAAAAAGAAACAAAATTGGATCGCTGAACTGTGTACTCTTCGAAAAGCTTTACCCAAAAGTTGGATCCAAAAATTAAAGAGTAATATATCAAAACATACTAAAATCAACATAACACAAGACATTAAAATGTTTTGTAATGGATTGTATTACAATCTAGACAAAATTAAGTTTAAAGAAATTTATAATATTATAATCAGGTCAAATAAAGAGCTTCCAGTAGGTTTTTGCTCATGGAAAAACCAATTATCATGCGAAAATGTTATTTATTTCATTAAGAAAAATCTATCTTTTACCTTTCTTTTTTTAAAAGATAATAGATTAAAAATGTTCAGATGGAAACTACTGCATAATATTTTAGCTATCAACCATAATCTGTACCGCTGGAAAGTAGTTAACAGCGAAAACTGTGAGATATGTTTCAAATCTGATAGCTATAATCATTTCTTCTTTGAATGCACATGGGTAAAAAATTATTGGACATTACTACACAAAATATTTATGTATCTCAATATTGGTCAACATGTTTTTTGTCTTAAAAATCTTGTAATAGGATACAAAATTGAAGATGTTGAATATTATGTACTTAATCATATTATTACAATTGTTTGCTTTGTGATTTATAAATGCTTTTATTTATCAGAAAAGAGAACTAAATATGTGAATATGATGTCAGTCCTAAAAAATGAAATTGAAACACAAATTTTATATCATCCGAAAAATTCCTTTTTGAGAAAATTCATAACGAAAATCTTAGAAATTTGATTCTCTATCTGTTTTGTTTGCATTTGATGACCTAGAATCACAAAAATATCATTGAAATAAAAAGAAGAAAAATTTCCAAACAAAAACTGCTCCTTTAATTTTTGTTTAAATACCAGATATGGTATTGGTGTACTTGAATGATAAGATACTATCTAAAAAACAATCGTAATTCAATTATACTGACCTCTTGATCCGATAAATCAGAAACCATGCTCTTTTACTTTCACTTTTAAAATCCGAGACTAAAAGCTAAACAAAAGACGGTCAAAGTTACGTTTTCTTTTTCATTGTATACATGTTTGTAGAATTAATCTGTAAATTGTAACTAACACGTAATGCTATGTAGATTTATAAAAAGTTTGCCAATGAAATCCCCTGGTTTTATTGGTAATTAACAAT